TACTGTCCTGTGTACTGCTGAGTTTGGAAATCTACAAACTATATGTTCCCAGTTCCTTACCTAGGTTACTGTCACTAGGTTTTGCCAGTGGGGTGTACTTCTTCACTGGGAAATTGAGGGGAAGGGAAAGGCTATTTTTCCTTTCCATCAGTTTCTAGAAAGGGCAGTTGTTGGTTATTGGGAGTGATTGACAATGGGCTTCAAAAGCAACAACATTAATTTCAATAGCCTCCGTAGGAGTTCAGATTTTTTATTTTTTTTGCCCTGTGGCAGCTGTGTGATTTCAACAGCAGTGGCAGCTGCAGAAGCAATGTAGCAATGAGTGTGGCCAATGTTAAAGGTGGTAGCAACTTCCTCATCTTTAGGTAAAAACTTTCTTGTGTCTTGTATGTCTCTAGTGTGTTCTCATATTCTTGTTCTTCCAGTTCTTCTAATTTGTCTGAGATCCACTGCCTGTATTAAAATCCTGACGTTTGAAATACCTAGGCTGGTTTCTGTTTTATTGACGAGGCATTGACAGGTACAAGAGTTTATTGGAAGAAAAGTTTGAGAACTACTGCTCTGCAATATCGATGCCAGCTGAGGCCAGCTGAATCTTGTGGAACAAAACTAATGGCAGAATGGGGTGCTTGGGTGGCTCAGTCAGTTGAGCATCTGACTCTTGATTTCGGCTCACGTCATGATGTCTCAGTTTGTGAGATTGAGCTTGCATTGGGCTCTGTGCTGGCAGTATGGAACCTGCTTGGGATTTTCTCTCTCTCTGCCCCTTCCCTACTCACATTCTCTCTCTCTCTGTCTCCCTCTCAAAAAAAAAAAAAATCATTTAAAACAACTTTAAAAAATAATGGAAGAATCTGATAAGCTGTTTTTAACCACCCTTTGGCAGAGACTTTAGGGAGAAGTCTACTATTACTGATAGCTAAATAAAAATCAGATCTGGGATGCCTGGGTGGCTCAGTCGGTTAAGCGTCCGACTTCGGCTCAGGTCGTGATCTCATGGTTCTTGAGTTCGAGCCCCACATCAGGCTCTGTGCTGACAGCTAGCTCAGAGCCTGGAGCCTGTTTCAGATTCTGTGTCTTCCTTTCTCTCTGACCCTCCGTCGCTCACGCTGTCTGTCTGTCTCTCTCTCTCTCAGAAATAAATAAAAACATTTAAAAAATTAGGAAAAAAATAAAAATCAGATCCACGTCAAAAGAGTCTCCATTTGTGTGACAAGCAGAAAAATAAGCATTTATGGTCACATTTTGTTTCCTTAGCCACCCATACATAACCTTAATACATGTAATATGAGAGGGAAAATAGGACTGTAGATATGATTAATATGAAATAAAAGAGATACCTCTTAGAAGAGAAATTTATTGGGAATAATCTGTATTTTGCATGATTATTTCATTGAATTGAGTTTGTCTGGTTTATTTCTCAGCTCCTAGATGGATCAAAGCCTTAACTAATACAGAGTTTTCAAAATACCTTTTTATTTAATCTGTTACAGTATTTCATTATCTTAGCATCAAGACATTATATCTTATCTCTAATTAAATTTTCTCTTCTTGAAATTTCAGTCTATTTGCTCTTTATCTTTTCTTTATTTGAAAAGAAGAATATATCTGGATTCTTCCTTAATACTCTGCATATTCCTGAAGATAATTAATCATTAGCCCCCTTCCCTAGCATTCTCTTTTTTCTAGGTGAAGAAATCTCTATTTCATTGACCTTTAGGTGTGGTTGTTTCTATCACATTATGGAGTCATTCTCTGAACATAATTGATGTAAGTCTGCCCGTCTTTTAACTGCCAAAATGACAAGGTCTCTCTAATCCTGTTAAAGAGTGTTATCGAAGAAGTTATTCTGAGGAAAAACGTTTGCTTTGCTTTTACAAGAACACAAAAATTGGGGTGGAGAACATCTGACCAAAATATAGATGGGATTAAAAATTCCACCGAACTGGTCTGACTTCATAAAATGCTTTTGAAATGTGTAACATCGTGGGTCAGATGGTCTAGAACAATCTTAGTTTTATTACGGGGAGAGGGGGCGTTCTAAACTATGTTTATAAAGCCAAGTAAGTTAAGTGTTCTCAATCAGAAAAGCTAAAAAGCTGGCTTGAGATAAAGCCTGAACTGAAACAAATGACAAAGGATTGATCACTGGTTTTCTCATGTTTTTCCTTAAATCATTATAAACTTAACGTATTTAAAACTTAAAGTCCCAGCAAATAAACTCCAAAGGGGGGAAAAAAGGCCTTATGTTCATTCTTGTATTTGGCTACATTGTAATTTCTGGCTCAGGGTCATACACATGGTAGGTGCTTGAATCAGACTATACAACTAATATTTAAGTAATGACAATAATAGTGTAATTTTTTAAAATTAATTTTATGTATTTATTTTTTAAGAGAGAGAGGGTGCAAGTGAATGAGGGGCAGAGAGACAGAGGGATAGAGAGAGAGTAAGAGAAATGGGGCTCACCCAAAGTGGGGCTCGTACTCAAAAAGCCTGAGATCATGACCTGAGCCAAAGTCAGGTGCTTAATGACTGAGACACCCAATGATAGTGTCATTTTTAAAATAGTAGTTTATTTAAACATAACAATACTAATAAATTGGAACTCTATTTGATAATTTTAAAATGTTCTACAAAGAATACCTGAGGGGGAGAAAAACTAATTATTATTTATGGCAAACTGTTAATGTTTTATATTGTAATAAAATCTTAATACATAACATATGTATGAATTGTATCACAAAAAATTTCTAGAAGAATTTGTGATTTTGTTTTTCCTAAAGATCAATATATATTTTATACATGTACAGTAGAATAAGTATAAAGAACAATATTAGTTTAAAATATATTAAAAACAAAATATAAATACATTTAATCATGCCCAGAAATAAGTTTTCAAATATTTAGGCCAATGGACTTTTCTTTAAGTACCTTTTTTAAAAAAGTTTGTTTATTTATTTATTTTGAGAGAGAATCCCAAGAGGCCCTATGGTATCCGAGCAGTGGGGCTCAAACCCATGAACTGCGAGATCGTGACGTGCGCCAAAATTAAGAGTCATCCCCCCAACCAACTGAGCCAGCCAGGCACCCCTAAATGCCATTAGTTTGGAAATTTCTGTAAAATGTGATGTTCATCCAATGCGAAGAAGATAATGTATTTGATTGGCAAGGTATATTTAGATTATTGAATTTTAGAACATTTGTAATGTTTACATAACTGCCGAGGTTTTAAAGTGATTTTTCAAGTGCTTGGTGAGGTACCAGTATTAATACTTTTAGATCAATATTAGGAAGATTTTTACATTATGTAATTTATTTTACTGATCTGATACCATTTACTTAATCTTCTGAGCTTACCAATTAAGAGTCACTGAATAATTTCCTGGTAGAACCTGGTGGTAAGAATTGTAATACTGGACCCAAAGCAAGAGATGCCAATTAGAGACTGTGGAAGTTAAAGTACTCAAGAATATGTTGAACTGGGGTTTCTTTCTCTTTTCCATCCTCTCTCCCTTACCTCCTGCTCTTGATCTCTCTTTCCATCAGTTGGGAAATTTTAATATTATAAATTCAAGCCATTTATTTTCATCTAGTATAAAATCATATGTGGTAGTAATAATGGGTGGGGAAGGATTGAGGAACTTAGGCTTTGGAGTCAGATTTGCCTTGTGGCTTTACTTTATAATGACTATGGAACCTGAGCGGGTTACTCTGAGTCTAGGTTTTCTCATTTGCAAATCATGGAAATTAGCATGATTTCAGATTTTAAAAACTTATTTTAAAAAATTTTTAATGTTTTTATTTATTTCTGAGAGAGAGGGAGACAGACAGACAGACAGCGTGAGACAGCAGGGTCAGAGAGAGGGAGACACAGAATCTGAAGCAGGCTCCAGGCTCTGAGCTGTCAGCACAGAGCCCGACCCAGGGCTGGAACCCATGAACCGTGAGATCATTACCTGAGCCGAAGTCGGACGCTTAACTGACTGAGCCACCCAGGAGCCTCTTAATTTATTTTTTTTAGTTTATTTATTTATTTTGAAAGAAAGACAGGTGGGGGGAGAGAGAGAGAGAGAGAGAGAGAGAGAATGTGATTGGGGAGGGGCAGAGAGGGAGAGGGAGAGAGAGATCCCTAGAAGGTTCTGCTCTGTTGGTGCACAGTCGGGAGTGAGGTTCTTTCTCACGAACCATCAGATCATTACTGAGCTGAAATCAAGAGTCGGTTGTTGAACTGACTGGGCCACCTAGGCATGCTGAAATCATTTCGGATTTTATGGTAAGCATAAGTAATGTGCAGAAAATGCGGAACACTCTGACAGGCACAGAATTTCTATTTATTATTGTCTTACTGTGTTTCAGGTACTATAGAGAAGTAAGATAAAATGCTTCTCTCCTTTAACTTTTCTTTTATGTAGAATGAGATTATTAGATGATCTAGAAATCTCCCTCTAGTTGCACACTCTGTAGATTTATAACACCATCCTTTGTAATAACGTTCGTGTCATAGGGATACCGGCATACACAGCCGGTCTTTCTTAGCTAACTTACAGGTGAATACGCTACATGAGAGATACATGATTGAAAGTTAGAGTAGGTGGTGTGGATTCCAGACCCTTTCACCAGCCAGACTGGAATAACATGTCTGCAATTCTGATGAATTAAAAGCAGTTTCACAGTTTGAACTAATATAAAGATTCTAGAGTAATCCAAATAAAACAAACAAAAAAGCCCCCCCAAAAAACAAACAAACAAAAAAACCCCAACCAAATCCCAGATTACATAAAACCAGCTGCAAACTTCTTTAGGAATAATGTAAAGAATGAATCAAGCAAAATTTTTAAAAAATTTATGTTTATTCATTTTTGAGGCGGGGGGAGAGGCAGAGAGAGAAAGAGACAGAATCCGAAGCAGGCGGCAGGCTCCGAGCTGCCAGTACAGAGCCGACTCAGGGATTGAATTTATGAACGGAGAGATCATGACCTGAGCTGAAGTCCGACGCTTAACCGATTAAGCCACCCAGATGCCCCTGAAGTAAAAAAAAAATTTTAATGGCACATTAAATGACAATACTAAAACTTAATCAACAACAGTTAACATTTTTTTTTTTTGAACTCCTATTGTATACACAGCCTTTTATCTTCAAAAACTTAAAGGAGAGAGGGGCGCCTGGGTGGCTCAGTCGGTTGAGCGTCTGACTTTGGCTCGGGTCACGATCTCACGGTTCGTGGGTTTGAGTCCCCGTTGGGCTCTGTGCTGACAGCTAGCTCAGAGCCTGTAGACTTTTTTTTCGGATTCTGTATCTCCCTCTCTCTCTGACCCTTCTCTGCTCACGCGCGCGCGCTCTCTCTCTCTCTCAGAAATAAATAAAACATAAAAAAATAAAATTAAAAAAACACTTAAAGGAGAGAAAAGGGTGTGATGGGATTGGCATACTATATTAGGAGGTCTATCCAATCTATGCAGTGTCTGCTCCTTGTCATCGAAGGATACCACAAACATCTTGCTAAAAAGGGTCTACATCCCAGTCTTTTTTTGTACTACTACATCTGAACTACTTACCTGGATACGATACGAACTCCAATTAATATGTACTGACCCAACCATAGGGGCGCCTGGGTGGCTTAGTAGGTTAAGCTTCCAACTTCTGCTCAGGTCATGATCTCACAGTTCCTGAGTTCAAGGCCCATAGTGGGCTCTATGCTGATAGCTTGGAGCCTGGAGCCTGTTTCAGATTCTGTGTCTCCCTCTCTGTCTGCCTCTCCCCTGCTCACACTCTCTGTCTCCCTCAAAATAAATAAACACTTAGGGGCGCCTGGGTGGCTTAGTCGGTTAAGCGTCCGACTTTCGCTTAGGTCATGATCTCGCGGTTCCTGGGTTCGAGCCCCGCGTCGGGCTCTGTGCTGACTGCCAGCCCGGAGCCTGGAGCCTGTTTCAGTCTGTGACTGCCTCTCTCTCTGACCCTCCCCTGCTCACGCTGTCTCTCTCTCTCCTAGAAATAAATAAAACATTTAAAATAAATAAATAAATAAACATTTAAAAAAATAAAAATGGGAAGATTTTGTTTTGTACATTCTGCACCATGAAAACTAACTGAAGATTTTTTTTTTTTTTGCAAGATTAAATAAATCTTTTGTTTGAGAAATGACTTGGAAACTTGCAACAAGGCCTTTCCCTGCCCCACCCCCCACCCCACCCCACCCCCGGCTGCTGGAGTTATACTATTGAAAAAAATATGCTCTAATTTCTGCTATAAATTAATATTGTACTGGCCAATTCAAATTTTCAAACTGTAGGTTGAATGGATATTCTTTTTAAAAAGGTCAGAATTTATTTAAATCATGAGCAATGTTGAAGATTAGTTTTAGATTGTCTTAAAAGAATATCCTTTGCTTTCCATCAGTCGTGTCTTAAAAATTCATAGGTAAAGCTATTTATGGTCACTCACATGGGCTCAACACAGTTATTGTTTTCTTTGATGATCCATTGTAATAATTGAACAACATCCAGGGAGCCTTTCTTCGAATGATATCCTTCTCTTCTTCCTCATCTTCACAGAAAAAAACTATATAGCATCAAACTTAAAGCTTGGAAAGACACCGAAAACCCTCTGAGTTTCTGACCCACGATATGAAGTAAGACTCAACAATGAAGACAAATAAAAGCAAGATTAGAGTTACTTTCTGGGACACTGAAAGCTACAGAGATGGTTTTTAGTCTTTGTAAAAATGAGCTTTTGGGTTTAGGGTTTTCTCACTTCCTTCCACTCATCCAACATGAGTGAATATGTATGTAAATAAAACATTTACAAGAATTCTTATGTAAATAAAAAAATATAGCATTCAGAGAAAGAAAAGAGCAGTGATAAAGGAAAGCCAGTGCTGTGGGGCTTTGTGAACAAGGGAGGGAAGGATTTCTTTGTGCCACAACAAAATGTAACCGTGCCCATGAAAGGAAGGAAACAGAAGGCTAGTTTTCACTAAAAGCCCGGCTGCATGTAAGTGACCCAGCGGAGGAAATCCTGGTTCTATCTCCAGGGCTCGTGAGCGGTTCAACATGGGTCCTACATGTTTGCAGGGTACCTGTGTCCGTTCTCCCTCTAAAACAAAAAAGGGACCCACACCAATCAGCAGAATTATATTTGTAGCTATTACTGTTCATAGAGAAATTAAAGACAAATAAACAAACAAATTATGCTTTTAATTAAAGTTTTGAGTTCTTTGTTCTAATGCTGCTCGTTGCTAACCAGAGAATGTACTTTCTTCTCTCCTACCCTCTCAGATTAGTGTCCTAAATGTACAAATGCAGGTTCCCCATGGAGATGGCCATTTTCAGAGTGAACAAAACAGGTATCCCTTGAGCAAAATATCAGTCATCCCTTGAGGTTGGTGGCCTCTCACCAAAATGTTTTTATGGATGTTGCCTTATTGTATGACGGTTCACATCCTGGCATAAGCCACAGTCAGTTAGTAAGGGAGGCAAGCTTCTGAGAAGTATTCACAAACAATGAAGTCAACAATCTACGAATTATGGATCCTTTCCACGTTCTGAGCAGTAAAGATAGCTAATCGTCATCTTGTACGCTTTTTAAGAAATCCGAGCTACAATACACATTACAGAAGTATTGCTTTCTTCTCCTGTTACTGACCTGCCATTTGCTACACAGCTATTGTTAGGAGTAATAGATGTGAATGAGACCTTTCTGGAAAGTGGACTTAATAGGAGGCACTTGGCTGAAACACATGTCAAATGTTTCACATTATTTTTCCTTCTTCTCTCCAGTAATCCATTATTAGATTTTTATGACCTAAAAATTAGGCAAATTTGGATAAACGTTACAGACTTGAAAAAAGTAACTTTAGAGAAGTAGGGTGCCATGGTTATTATTTGATGCCTCGCTTGCTTGCAGAGAGATGGTACTAATTGTTTTCGTTACAGTTAGGAATAAAAAAATACAAACCTATTTTTACACAGCTTTAGATTTTTTAAAAAAGAAATCAACATACCATTTACACGTGCCGTGAAAAATCTGTCAATTGTCACACATTAATTAATTACAAGAGTACTGTAAACTTTAACAGCTGGAAAGAACCCCTTTAAACAAGTTGAAAACAACAATCGAGATAAAATTCCCACAAAGGGAAAAATATACAAACAGGCAAGAATCAATTACTACTCAATACACAAAAATCAGCAAGGATTCAGAGATGCTATTCAAAGTACCTTTATCCCAAAGGTAATTATTACCAGTGCTTTCTGGGGTGGGGGAAAAATCCGACAGTAACTTTCTGTCGGAATCTTACTGACCCCTGTAACAATGTGGATGCCTTCTCAGTATAAGTCAGTTAATAAAAAAGGCGTCTTGCCTTCTAAATATCACACCTGCAGTCGTCCAGCCTTGGGAATCATTCAATTCATGGGTGAATACAACCCACATACATCAAAAGTTTCCATTTTTTTCCAGCTCTTTTTAACACCAAGGTCCCTCCCCTCTCCCCAGGCTTCTTGCAGCTATCCAGGGAATCTTTCACTTTTTGTCCTTTCCCGACCCTTCTGGACCACATTTTCTCTTCTTATTCAAGCCATCTGCTCTCAAGGAAGGTAAAACTTCTGCTAAGAAAACAAGCAGCATCCCGAGCAATTGGTAGCTTTTGTGAACTACCCTTACAGCCACTGCCTGTGAAGACACACATTGTGCAAATCACAATTCAAATTATGATAGTAGTTTAAAAATAGTTTGTAATTGATACATTTCTGGCCACAGCCTCCCCCTTTATCCTGCTAGTGGTACAATCTTCTTGCTCTTGACAGAAGTCTTTCTAAAGATCTGCTCAAGCCTCACTAAGCAGCTGTGAGTTAGGTCATTTTCCCAGGAGTTTTACATGTGGAAAACTGGGCATTAGTAAGGCCTCAAAAAGGACACCATCTGGCCCTAGTGAAAAAAAGGATCATGACACTTCCTGTGGTACCAACAGACCCTGATGAACCAGAAAGGAATTCAGCCCCGGACTGTGATCCAATAGAGACCGGCCCCACAATCACCTCTGTGACAGCCAACTCCATTCATCTCAGCGGTTACCTCATGGCACAATGCACTTTTGTGCCGCGCTGTTTACTGAAGGCGGAGCAAAGTCCATTTTGATTTTTGTGTTTAGTCTCAGTGCCTGTCCTCTTTCCTGGAACACATACCACATCAGGAGAGGGTGAGCTGCACAAAGAACAGTGCTTTCCATTCCCATTCACACTCCTCAATCTCCCTCCCACTGTACACGGGACAGAAGAAGAAAATGCTGGCCTCCTCAGGGGCTTCAAAAAGGCCTTTTCCTGACATGAAGCCCTGCCCCTCCCACTTTCAATAAAAATGATTTTAAAGAAGTCAGATCTACGGGTGTTTTTATTTTCTGTGTTTTTGTTGTTGTCGTTTGGTATGTGTGTAGGAAAAAAATGGAAACTTCAACACATATGGAAATCTTACATGAGCACTTGCTGCTGGAATGTTCCACTTCCATTGACTCCATTAGGTGTTGAGTGTTGAAAGGTCCTGTTAAAACGACAGCATCAACTTCGGCAACAAACCAGGTTTTCTTTTTCAGAAAGAGAGGTGTCTCACCAAAGCTCTGTGAGCGTGGATGATGATGACACCTTTCGTTGTCTTTTTGTTTATTACCATTTACAAAGGCTTTCCATGTTTCCTACTTTAGGCTATGGAAATTGGGGAAGTCTAATTAACGACAACAGACCCTTAATTTGTAATTTTTCTCTTTGGCTGAATGTATTATGAAGACAACAAGCAAAGAACTTATTTAATTAACTCATTATCAGCAAATATATATATATACACACACACATACACACACACACGTAATACATACACACATATATACACATATACATACATGTGCTCTCCAAGCATAAAATATCATTTGTAGTGGATGATTGGAAACCCTGAGATTGGTCATTCCAGAAATGAACCGTGGCTATTTGGGATAAACAGGGGCTTCCCTATGAGAGCTTTTAAACCATCTCACAACACAACCAGGAGGACTTGGGTGTGATGGGAAGGCCCTTTCTTAAATCTGAGAGACCACCCCACCCTCAATTCTAATCAGACTACTTCATTATCCACCTTTCATCTTAAAAAAAGATTCTTGCAGCCCTAAGCTACTAAGCCTCATTTTGCCTGCCATTGGGGGCATCATCTGTACATAGAGGCGAATCCTCCCCCACTGTTGGACCCTTCAATAGAAAGCCATATTGTCACACAAAGAGACCTTAGTGTTAGCGAAAATGATTAAGGCCTATCATTTTTCCTATTCTCAGAAGTTAGCTTGGGGAGGGGTGCAGAGAGGCTGCCCTTTTTCCACATAAACCTTCTGGTGCCCAGATTTTGAAGAACTTAAAAAGCCAACACAGAATGAGTAGAATTTAATGAAGGAAAGCATTTCTCTGACTCTGATTCCCCAGTGGAAATGATGGAGCTCTATTGTGGGAAGACATAGCGGAAAGTCATTTATTAACATGTGTGTGCAAGGCCTAATTACTGGTGTTCTCCTTTAACGTAGAATTGTCACCACTGGCATTATTCATAAAGTACCCATTGAGAGAGGTTTAAAACCATAACCCTATCTGTAGTCATCAGTGAATTTTCTCTGGATTCTGTAATGACCAGAAGCATATTATGACTATAAAGCCCAGGGTTTTGTGTACATGCCTACAAGTAACTGCTTGGTTAGGAATGAAGATGAGAGATTGAGAGAAAGAGAGTATGTGTGTGTATGTGTGTGTGTGATTCTATCATGAAAGACCCAAAAACAGAACACGAAACAGCTAGCATTCCATTGCTAAAGTGTGTTTGTGCAATATGCACAAAGTAACTTATCCTATTATGAGTCATAGTCTTTCATAGGAACCTTCTAATGGCTTAAATAAGAAAAGTGTCAGAGAAACTGAGCCAAGTGCCAATAGTCAGGGCCATAGCCATGGGGGCGTGGCAAGCTAGTTGCAGAGAGTAGGGGACAGGGAGCTACCGGAGAGGGGCCCAGGGAGGGCACTGGCTACCGATATTTGGAAAGCCACCTCTGAGGTAGCAGAGGCAATTCCCTGTAACAGAAGGGAGAGGAGAGGAAAAAGGAGTTACTCTGGCAGCCGGAAGCACAGGTTTCACCAGTGCTGCCTAACACAGAAGCCACTTTGCCACCAGAAAAAGGGGGTGAAATATCCAGATTTTGCTAGACATCTATGCGTTCAGTGGTTTGGGACACAAACTCATTCCTTCCTTGAAGATTGCTGACTCTCCCTGTAAGAGTCATCATGGCTTTTTTTTTTTTTTTTTAAATAAAAGAACAATTGAAAACCTGGTAGATCATAAAATAATTAATTTTACCTATTATTTCCTCTGACACTTTTCTTGGCATCGATTTTGCAGCATTAACATATTTGCCTAGTACTAAATGATTCTAAAGGATTAAAATGTTAATTAAAAATAATAAGTGTCATCTCAGTGGCTGGGAAGGCCGACTGTGAGCACTGCTGTAAACTGGAGGCCTGTGTTCTCCTTGCCACACCCATCCCCCGTCCCCCCCCAACTCCACGAGAAGCTCTGTTTTGAGGCAACAGTTCCCTAGGAAGAAAACAGAAGAAGCAGAAACAATTTGCTCCTTTAAGGATTTGAGAATGCTTATGTTGGAACCTCACAAAAGCGGCGTTATGTCCTTGAACATTCTAAAGATCATTGTTAATAGGATCAATTTTTGTGTGTTATTCAACTGGATCCTTCCTAGCCTATAAGAACCGCATTTGAGTTGGGGGACATGGTGGCAATGGGGGTGGGGGTGGAGGGTAAAGGAAGGCCCAGCAAATTCCATGTGATCAGTTCAGCTGCAATAATCTCTTTTCTCCTTCTTGACGAAGCCACACATGAGAGCACTCTGGTGTCTTTCATCATTATTTGTCACCCTTTTGTGCGGAGCAACTTATATCCACAGCCATTCCAGCAATTAAAATGAAAAAGAACCAAACAGTATTCTCATTGAATACTAGGAGGCCAGTGCCACCAAGTGCCATCCAACCTATTGAATGTCGGGTATCTAATGCCATTAGAGCTCTGTAAGTATTCTGTGAGGAAAAAAAAAAAACACAAATAAATTGTTACATGCAGAATGTAGAGAATGATTTAAAAAGATAAAATCTTTTAATACATTGGTGGAAGCTAGATCGTCTGTCACAGGCTCTCTCTCAGTGATAACGTGAAAAAGAACTAACTAAGCAACTGACAGGAATTAGGACTCACATGGAAAGACTGAGAACTTCAAATTTTGGTAGACAAGTAGTCATGTGGTGAAGCAATGTCAAAGCCAGTAAGTCAATCTTGTTTCTGTTGAAATGCCTTCTGAAAATAACTAAGAGCATTTTATTAGCCTGATTTCCATTACTTAAATAGGCTGTACTTCTCCAAAACTATAATGTGTCACCACATTTCTGGGAAAGCTACATTTCAATGATCTTTTCCCAAAAAGGGCAAACTGAAAGAAAGTAAAGAGATACCAACTTCTCCAAGACCATGGACAGAGTCAGGATTGAAATATGGTGATCACTCGAGTTTGGTGCTAATTTCTGATTGTGTAGTCCAGAACATGAAGACCCAGCGAGTCACTTTCCTTATCCCACATGCCACTCTTTCTTAATGTTATTTTCATCTCAAAATTTTAGGGTCATTACAAGATCATCAATTTTGGTGTTTTTTTTAATGTTTATTATTTTGAGAGAGAGAAAGAGAGAGACAGAGTACAAGTGGGGGAGGGAAAGAGAGAGAAGGAGACACAGAATCCAAAACAGGCTCCAGGCTCTGAGCCTCTGTCAGCACAGAGTCCGATGCGGGGCTCAAACTCCCAGGCCGCGAGATCATGACCTGAGCTGAAGTTGGATACTTAACCGACTGAGCCACCCAGGCACCCCAAGAGCGTCAATTTTGAATCTATGTATTTGTTCTTCCATTCAGGGTATAGATTTTAGAAAAGATCATTAATAAAGTTCTCTGAAATACCAAGAATTTACTTTCCCAGGCATTGTGATCCTTGTTATAACTTAGCTGGGAAAAAAGATAGATGCCTGAAATGGTAATTAGTATTTATGGTAACATGCTACTGAAATTCTGAGGTGGCATCAAGGACTCCAGCAGATGATAAAAGAACCTTTTAGAGAATATCCTGATATCTGAAGGAAGAGACAGAAAGTCTTCTTGAGGAAAGAAGCAGTGGCATGCTTGAAAATGGCAAAGGTGATTAAAACATGGTCACCACTTTATACAAAGATACACTCATGTGTGCAGAGCCATCTAGAAAGTGCTTCATGCTCCCTCTTCTTGTAGTTTCAGTAATGACCAAACCTGTCTGCTGGATGCAGAAAGGTTGGAGCTGGAATTCCCTAACAGTGATTTTCCTTTTATGCCAGAGGCAGTGGAGCCAATGAAAGGTTGTCAGCAGTGATGGTCTGGCTTTGGTTGACTGTGACATGATCATGAAAAATAGTCAGGTGATGGAGGCTGGGGTGGGAGATATGGGCAGCATGTAGCATAGATCAGTCTTGGAAGTGGAGAGGTGAGAATTGTCAAATATCCTAACATGTGAGAGAAAGGCCAGAAACACCTGTGCCCTTAGAAGACTCTCATTAATGACCTTTAGAATCATATAGCCTAGTGTGAGGGGCTAGAATCTGGTGGGGGGGGTGGCTGGGGACCAGCCAGGTTGTGGTCCAGAAAAGTACTTCTGTGTTACACTCTTAGGTTGCATTATGACTGTAAAGCAAAGAACAGAGAATCTTTCTTGTCTTCTCCCAAACTGGGATTTGATGACGGTATCTGTACAACCCCTTTGGGAATGGAAAATTCTAGAACTGGAAGAGTAACTTTTTATATTTTACATTCTTCCCTATGATCTCATAAAGAAAGCTGTGCAGGGATTCACTGTGGCTTTTACAGGTCTCTTTAAAGTAAGTAGACAGTGTTTTGTAAATGACAAAATTTCAGGTAAAGCTCTGTTGAGTTTCCCCCAAATGTCTTTATTTCTAACAACCGCAATAACAAAAAAATAATTTAGTAAGTTAAATAGCCAGCTTGGGTTGGCCCAGGAGATTCTGCTGCTGGATATAACTGAGTTTGTCCTTTTAAGGTGACCACATTTTCCTTTGGTGCAATTTTTGGCAAAATATGTGACTTTGAGATTATCAGTAGGGAGTGGCTGGCCATTTGGCTTTAAATTTCCTAAACTTTTTTGAATGCTTAATTGTTTGCTAAGATGTCAGCTGCAAGATTAGTGGAGCTGGGGGAAAAAAAAGGCATGCATTCACATTGGCCCTATGTCTATTTTCAGTGTGAAGGGAACTGGCTGGAGAGTGTAGCAAACACTTGAAGCTATGCGTTCTGCATTACAATGAAGCCACGCTGTATTACACAATACCTCAGAGTTGTTGTTGTTGTTTTTTAAAGGGCATCATATCCAAAACCGTTTGAACACAAAGCAAGAACAGATGACAAATACTAAGATGTGTTAAACACCAGGACAATTACATTAAAATGGACTTCTTCGAGACTAACCCCCCACCTCAATTTCTTGCTAAATAATTAGCTAGAAAAGTATAAAAGGACTCCTTAAAAAATATTGGAATGAGGCTGGGCCAGAATGAAAAATAACAGCCACAACTTGTCTATATGTCAAGAACATAGTGTCTGGCACAGTATTTACATATCGAGTGTGTATAGGTGTGGTGGTATTTAAGAATGTGTCATTTGACGTAGTCTTCCAGCTATCTGTGAGAAAGAAAAATGTCAGAAAGTACATTCACAGTTGGAATTCCTTTTCTGGTTCTGCTAATTATTGTAAATACAGACCCTTTAGTTTTGTTGTACTACAGAGACTCCTAAAAATGATGCCATTATCTGCTTTCTCAATAATTCCCTTTTTCCAAGACCAATAAATGTCATTTTTAAAGGACAAAGAAATGAAAGTTAGCAAAATCACTTGGCGTTGTAGGGACAAATAATAGTTACATCTACAATATAAATTTAATTTTCTGATCATATTTAATGCCGGTGAAATGAACAGATATAGGACTTAAACTCAGGCCTTTGGATTCCGGTTCTGTACCCACAATTCCAAATCAAGCCACAAACATATGTCTGCTAGCTGACATATGGTAGAGAAGGGGCATAGAGCTATTCAAATTTATATAGAGCAGATTTCAATATTCATGGAGTTAGGACGACAGTTTCCCACGGTATCTTTTCTGTTTGGATTCTATGATCTCTTCAATTTGAAACCTTTTCTTCTGGTCCTCCCTAACATTTTTGCCCCCTAAGACGTTTGGTGATTACTATGTTTTGCTGTATCAACTACTTTATTTTGGTAGTTATCGTTAGGTTGGGGTCTGTGTTTTTTTATCACCTAGCACGGAGCCTGGCACATAGTAGGCACTCAATAAATGTTTGTAGGGTAGAAGATAAGTGTGCACATTTGGTCTCCTTGGTTAAGCTGCCAATCCCTGGAGGGCAGAGAAGGTGTGCTAAGCTTTTGTTGTCCTTCCCCTGGTGCTTAGTACCCTGTATGACAGGTTATGTGGGACAGTGACAGGAAAGTTTCATGGTGATGATGTCACTGTGGCAAAGGGACAGAGGGAAGAGAGGAAGTCAGGGAAGGAAGAAAGAGAGGAGAGGGACAAAAAGAAAGGATAATTTGGAGCAGAGAACCAAGCTAGTTCCAAATCCCCCCCCCCTCCCCCGGGAATTAGCTTAACCTGCTCCCTTATTTTAGACAAAGGGAAGACAGGCGGGAGAAGAGAGAAATTCAGGAAGCAAGAGTATAAATTGTGGCTGTGGTGGTGAGCAGCATTCCAAGTTTACCAAATCATTTGCTAACACAGTAAATACAACATTTTCCTAAAGAGTTACTAGGTAGTGAAATTAGACTCTTATCTTATATTGTAAAGTTATTAGGATATTGGAGTTTAGAGGGAATGTGGAGAATTTTTTAAGAAGTAATCCCTAAAACTTGGGAAATTATAATTATTTTTTCTAATGAATACACTTAACAAGCTACAGACTCTCAAATGTGATACATTTGGCAAAGAATGGGCCCTGTCATGAAACCTGAAAGAGGTCTGTGCCATTATTAATCTGCTACCCAGGCAACACTTTTTGGGTCTTAATGAATAGCCTCTAATTGGCTGAGATTGGCCCACATACCCAGGAGCTGTTCACCAAATACATTTTTTTCAAGATTTCACATCTTTCTTACATCTGCAATATAGGAAAATTTTCCTGCTCATACTGTAGTAGATGTTCACCATATACCACCATAACTTATACGAATCCTTACTTCACTAAGATTTCTTAAATTATATTCTGGTTTTATAAATAGTAAACCCAGAGTGTAAGTGAAAGTAACTCCTGGATTAAAAATAACTGTTTGATAATAAAAAGCCTCTGTATTTGTATTCTAAATACAGATCACTGATTCTTGGAGCCCAAATAACACAGCTATTGTGAAAAAATAAAGTGTGTGTGTATATATATTATATATGTGTGTGTATATATATATAATATATATATACTACTTTTGTTTTTATTGTTAGAAAACCAAGATGTGAGAAGATTCTATTTTTATGTGTTTAATAATTGACCACAGGGTTATGGAGGGGACCCTTTGATCCATCTACTAGTCATATTGGAAACACCCCAAGGGCAAGGACTGTGATTTCCCCAGCTCCCTGTCTCAGGATCTAGGCTGCAATATCCAGGGCACTTCTAAGGACGGCCTGCAGAGTGAGGTGAATAAGGAAGCAGGGGAGGGCCAGAGGAGCAGAGGGTCCAGGAGACTGCCTGGCTTCCAGCCTTACCCCCATTCTGTAGGAGTCCACTAAGCAAGCTCTGCAACACCTCTTCCCCTCTCAACACTTTGAAGGATTTAAAAAAATATATTTATTTATTTATTGGAGACCACAAGTGGAGGAGGGCCAGAGAGAATGGGACAGAGGATCTGAAGCAGGCTCCACCCTGACAGGATGAGAGCATCAAGCCTGATGCGGGGCTTGAACTCAGGAACTGGGAGATCAAGACCTGAACCGAAGTCGGATGCTCAACCCAGGCACCCCAACACTTTGAAGGATTTCCTGAATAACTATAACTATTTTGTCATGTGTTTATTTACTGCCTGTCACCTGAATTTATAGAAAATGTTTGAAGGTTTTAAAAAATTATCTGATAGCAAGGTAAGCATATTTTTTAAAATAATGTCTGCAAGAGTTTAGGTAGGGACCTTTGGTAAAGGAAATATGACTCCCATTAAAACCTCCTTACCATCCCCCTTCAAGAGAAATACAATTACAATTTACCAACTTGGTCATAGTGCCTTTTCCATGACCACAGTCTGTGTGGGAAACCTCTAACTCTACCTCAGAGTCAAGGTTTTATTGTTAACTCAGAATACCAAACCTGCGGTGGCGTGTTGGAGGACATCACTGAATCTGAGTCACAGAGAGTGCTGCTTCAGAAAAAGAGAAAGGGAGGGAGAGAGAGAGAGAGAGAGAAAGGAGAGAGAGATGGGCAGAAACAGAGACCTTTGTGAGGTAATAGAATGTGAGATACAGAAAGAAAAATCAAGGGGATAAAGGAAAAGACGGTAGGAGAAAGAAAGCACTAGGTGAGTGATGGTAGGAGAGAAATGTACCAGAATAAAAGATGGGTCAGTGGCAGTCTGACATTGTAAATGATTTTGAATACAGATGAGTTGCATATGATCATCCTGGCGAGAAAAGGGAAAAGTCCAAAGGGGTTTTCTGAAATAGGGCAAGGTGACATTAATATATGAATAAAGTAACAATTGGATAAATGAGGAATCCCTTCAACTTGATTTTGATTAATTATCCAGTAAACTCAAGTTCATGTGATGCAGTGCCTGTCTGGAAGTAGTTTTAATCCTGCTGAAGAACCTGGTAGCTGGATTCTTATTCTTGAGGTACCATTGTTATGAAGTCAGAATTCCAGGAAGGCATAATTTTGTAACTGCAGAATGCCTCACACCATTGCTGAAACCCTTAGAAACACTACCTTCAACTTTGCAAAACCATAAGTGTTTGTAATTCATCCAGGAAGGAAATGACATATGTGGACTTCAGTGCTATGTGTGTGTGTGTGTGAAGGGTGGGGGTGGAATGTGGTGAGTGGTGAGGACAGATCAGGGTGTCGGGGAGGGAGAAGAAGTGCTACAGAGTAATTTGTAGGAATCAGAAGTCCACAGAGAAGGAAGACTCTTGTAGGAAAACTTGGTGTCATAACTTCACTGCGTGACAGGACTGTAAAGGTGCTAAGTCGCTGTGCACCTGGCAGCCTACTACAGGCTTGTCTGTTATTTTTCTTGCTCCTTAAAATGTCACATCACTTACGCTATTTTTTAAATTCTTTGTCAGTGGACAGATAATTGGCAGAGAAAACCAAGAACAGAAATTTTCTCAGAGCATTCTGGTTATGATTTACAAGCTTCTGATTTCTTCCTGTCATGGGGAAAAGTACCTGAGAGCAGGCGCTGGGAAATACTTAGCTGGTATCAGAATTTCTTTCTTTGTATTGAAAGCTGCAACATTCAATCATCCCCAAGAATGTTCAAGACCAAAACTGGCATAAAATTTAAAGATGTTCTCATCTGAATATGATATTTGGAGTGCTACCCATTGAGCAATCAAAATTCACAAATCCTGTATCAGTTAAACTCTTCTGCTTTGGGATTTTATTACAGACCTACAATATAGGGCAACTGTCTTCCTTTTAAACTGTATTTACTATTTTATAATTAAAAGTAGCACATACTGGTTGTAACATGTATGATAGTAGAAAGGTATAAAATGAAACAGTGATCACTCCCTGCCCCCATTGCCATTTCAATGAGACCAACCTTATAAATGCTTGATGTGCATCCTTCCCGAGCACTCCTCATGCTCTTACCAGCATGTATTAACACATTTATGTGTACGTGTATGCAATGATGCCATATTGCACAAATTTCTTTGAAACTTGGTTTCATTTTAACCTAATAGTAACATATGATGAACATGCCCTGGGTTAGGTGCACACTGAAACAGCTGTGAAACAATATTCCACCTCATGGACTCTATCCAATCATTCTTCAGTTGATCCTCATCTTTCCCTCAAGTGTAGTGGGAAATCTCTTGAAATATTTCATACTATTTGTTACTTCATGTCAGATACCTTTAAGTTCTGGGAAGTAGAATTAATGTGAAACTTAGCGGGATAAGAGGCAAGCCTCAATAGATGTCCTGCTAGATGCACTTGGAGTGGGAAACTGGTATTGAAGTTGCGGAGAGATGTTCATGATCCTACGTAAAGAGAGGTGCAAAACTAACATATATAAACTTGCATTATTCAAATAATAGTTAATAGACTCAGGAAACCAGTGGACAAAAACTAATACGCAAGCAAACTTCTCTTTTCATGATGACTTCTTCCAAGAAAGACCGAGTACTTTGCAGTCATCTTCATGCCATGAGTTGGCAATGAGGCTACTTGTATATTGAAAAGAGTGAAGGAGTGAAGAATTAGGAACCAAGTCTTCTAATGCTCACAGTAGAAAAGGTATACGGTGCTTGAAGAACACTCAATATTCTAAATTCTGAATAGAGGCAAAGAATGAACTGGGGGGTTGGTAATCCACATTCACAAAAGAGTCTGCTTTACAAAACAACTTAAGTTCCTGGAGGAGTCCATGCACAGCGAGTGCCCAGGAGCACGGTGCTTCCTGACAGCACTGCCTGTGGCCTCAAGAGAGACTCCAGACTAACCCACTCTACATCTCAGCCCACACAATCAACCATGCACATTTTAAAATGAATAAACAGTAACACTGACTCATCACTCCCTTGGCATATCCAATAGTTCCTGTAAATAGAAAGCTCTGGAAGTGCATTTAAAACATAATTGATTTAGAAGAAAAGGAAATTTAGGGCAAAGTGCAGTACATCCTTATTCTACATTATGGACCTGCTAGAGAAAGAAAGATTTCTCTGAAAAGAGGAAGTTCCAGATGTGGCAAACTAGTCAGAGTAATAAAATTAACGGTGGACAGTATTTGGTTGTATAGTCTATTTTGGCCAACTAGAATTTTAGCCTTGACTTTAGTTTGGACTGATAATCTTATTTCAGACCGATTTTCCCAATTCTTAATAAAGAGGAGTGCTGGCAAGCACTACCATCCCCCTTTCTGTGCTGTGATGAGGATATGAGACAGCCAATCTTGTGTTTGGGGATGGGGTGAAGATTGGCTGAAAAGCTGTCGAAAAGAAGGTGAAGATGATTCTTGGATGATTCCACATTCTGTAACTTTGCAAGGTTTGGGCTTGGGATGGAGTAAGGAAGAGAAAAAGGGGCAGCAATCTACTCTGGAGCTTTTTGGTGCTCTGCCTGCCTTTCTCCCCCAGATCACTGGGGGCCCAGCCCTGGAAGGGGACAGGAATGCATGTACAAAAGGAGAGAGAAAAGGGATCACTCCCACTTGCTGTTGTAGCTTTCATCTTCTTCTCTGTGATTATAAACTTGAAAATTCTGGGTCTATTTCCAGCCTCTCTGATGGTGTTGAACTCTGTGCACAGCTATTTCACTGCCCTTCATCCTGTTCCCTAGTCCTTCCATGAAGGAAGCACAGCGCATATTACTCCTGCTCTCTCCCTGGCCCCCATTCAGGGCAGGCACTTAGTAGATATTCAGTATATTCTTGAGAATCAGTGGTGGCTTTTCCTTCTCCTTTCCCTTTGGCCTCTCCTCCTACTGAAAACTCTGGTCTTTCTATGTGTGACCCATGTAGAATGGAAGGAAACACTTTTGATAAATTGTTCAGGCATTTTGCCTCTGCTGTCTATCTGGTTAACATCTCCTCTCCTCCATGAAACCTGCACTCTGGCTCTCTATTATTTAATGAATGTTCCTGGAGCATTCCTGAGTCCTTGGGTCTGCCGTCTGCATCATCTCATCTAGGTGGGTGGTTACTGAGAGACTGGTCTATGGATATGAACCAGTTCATGCTGAGATTTTCTGAAGGGAAATGAAGAAACACACACCCACACCACGATGATTTATTTCTCATAAGGCCAGATTCAACCAGCTTAAAGAGCTGTCATTTATTTTGAGTGTTTTTTTTTTAAAGGTTTCAGTGTTAAAATATATCATTTTAATAAAATGATGGTTATTCTAATTGGAATTATTTTTGGTTTTAATGGCATTACTTGGAAAAAATAAGTGTTGGCAACATTTTGTAAGCCTCTATTAAAAAAATTGTTCCATGAAGTCTTAATATCTGGAAATCAGTCTTCCAATCACCACTTCTGCTCTGGCAGGAGAGGGCTAACCTGTGATAACCACTTTCTATTCTGAATTCTTCCTCCATCTTCCACCTTTATTACTCACTCGTTCACTCAAAGTATATATCAAGAACTTACTGGAAGATAGGTCCCAAGCTGAACATTGTGGATATTGTGATGAAGAGAACAGGTGGGCTCACTGCCCTCTTAGAACTTACTGTTTCTAGAGGAAAACACTTACAAATTGGGAGAAAAAAAACCCCACATGTTCCATGAGAAAACACACCAGGTGAGGCTGTTTTCACACTGAGGAACAGAGTGGCCTCTGAGACCTGAAGGTCAGAATGAATTACCCACATGAGGCACAGAGCACTGTTTAAGAAGACTGGAAAGTTCTATAACCAATTAATACAATGTTTGGTAGACAGGAAAGACTTTGAAGTAAGTCAGGTTCTGCATTGAGACTGAGGAAGAACTGTGAAATTAAATAAATTTACACGAGGGAATACATTTCATAATATTTAAAAGAAACCCAAGCTATGAGTAGGTAACATTAAGGAAGGGGTGATAGAGAGGGCAAGGGGCACAATGAACATGTTCCAGACATCGTAAGAGCACGTGCAAAGGCCTGGAGATGAGAAAGCTTGGTGTAGAATAAATGTTTGATTATGACGATCTATTGCCTGTTGGTATTTCCCAAGTCAATACATTTTATTACATTATATGCAGGTTTAGTGGTAAATGAGATGCACACAACAGGTTTAATTACATGAAACAAGTGAGAGTTAACTCGCTGTGGGAAACGGTACATTATGGCCAGCCTCCTCCTGTAGAGGATATTGAATTGGCTTGTTGCGGAATCCTGTAAGAACTGTGTTTTCTGGTTGGCATTCATGGACTTAATGAACTGCTACCCTAACACCTGATACTCCACACTGACTTGCATACGGTGTTCAGAACATCAGGTACATTGCTCATATCCTATGAATTGCAAAGTGTTAATTCTGCCATGGTGATAAGAAAAGGTAATGTACTGAGGCTCGACAACTTCTGAAGTTGCCTACATTATGTGTCGAGGTCTCCCCAAAGAGTTTCTTCCAAAGCGGGAAAGTTGCAGCAAATAAATGAAAACCACCAGAGAGAGAGGGAGAGAGAGAGAGAGAGGCAATAGACACGGAGAATGGAGAACGGAGATCCCAATGAAAAATTAAAGGCATTCAAAGGAAGAAAAAAGCAATTGGAATACCAAGCTGTTTTCATTACGGTAGATTTATAATACGCTTCAAAAGCTGGTAGAATATATTAGACTATTCTTTTATTTTTCAAAATTTCCCTGGTTATTCCTTCATCTAATTCTTAAAATTAGATGCTTTAATTTCTTGGTAGCAGCATTTTAATATTTCTAGAGTTCCTGTTTTATTTTCAAAATTATTCTTCCTGAAGACCATAAAGACCTTCCAAAAACCCATATATAGCATGCTCTCTCTCATACATATGCATACACATATACATACATATATACTTAGTATACAAAAGATATTTACTTGAACTCATAAAATGAACAGACTTAACAGTCGTTAAATATGCATAATAGAAATAGGTTAACATTTAGATTATTTCTTGTACTGAAAAAAAAAAAGTAAAGTAGAACTTTAAAAATCAGTGAAATGCATTGACATGGAAACACTCTTGATGTTTTTAACACTCATATTTAAAAGCACAGGAAACATAGTTCTCACTGGGCCACAGACCAGATCAAGAATAGATATCTAGCTGGAAGAATCTGAGAAATATTTTGACAGAAGGTACACATGACCTGCAATTGTCACACTTCACACTATCTTTTTGTGGTAGGTAACTTCTATTAGATAGAATAATTCAAGTTATAAACTAGTTTCTTGGAAATTGAGCTCCATTTTTGGTGAGAAACAACACCTCTTTCTCCATCTCTATGCAATTTACACACTCCAGTCTTCAGGAAGAAGTCAATTTAAAGCAGCAACTTTGGTGTTATAATAAACTCTACAGATATAGTCAGTGAATTGGAACCTCAAATTTATCCCTAAATGTTTCAGGGTGGATCACAGATTTTTCATCTTCCTTTTGTTAAGTTAATATAGCAACATAATCCATTAGATAGACTTCAGCTATTTGATTACTAGTGATGTGATTTTATCTGTCTACAAAGGTAGGATCTTTGTGCGCTAATTATAAGTAATACATTTAAAAAATTTTTTAAATGTTTTTTTAAATTTATTTTTGAGAGACAGAGAGAGACACCATGAGCAGGGGAGGGTCAGAGAGAGAGGGAGACACAGAATCTGAAGCAGGCTCCAGGCTCTGAGCTAGCTGTCAGCACAGAGCCCAACCCAGGGCTTGAACCCATGAGCTGTGAGATCATGACCTGAGCTGAAGTCGGAAGCCTAAACGACTGAGCCACCCAGGTGCCCCTATAAGTAATACTTTTAAACTGTGGTTTACTTAAAAAGCTATGCAAAAAGGGCTTCTGATCCAGCATCTTTCCAAATATCTTTATTGACAGGGCAAAGTCTTCTCTCTTGGGATTCTAAGTCCTAAGCACAGGTTTGGCAATAGCTTCGTCTATGGGTAGTCTCTTTTAGGCATTGAAAAACAGTAGGTGCAGCTGCAGATAAAAAGATGGTATTTACAGGTGGACAGGATGCTTGGCCTTTTGTTGGCCTTTTCACCCGACATTCGAACCCACCAGGAGCAATCAGTGTGAGTAGTTTTATCTTCCCATCAGAACATTTTTATATGTTAGTGTGTGCATGTGTGCGTGTGTTCCTATGTCCACACATGCACATGATTATCAAATACCATGTTGAGATTATTTCAAGGTTAGGGGTAGTTTTATCTTCCCATCAGAACATTTTTATATGTCAGTGTGTGCATGTGTGCGTGTGTTCCTATGTCCACACATGCACATGATTATCAAATACCATGTTGAGATTATTTCAAGGTTAGGGTATTGATTGAAACTGTGTATGTGCTTGCTGGAACATATTTCCCACAGGGTCTGACCACGATGGCTAAAAAAGCTTGGCTTTTTTGTTTTTTGTTTTTGGCTTGGTTTTTGCATCGTGTATTCATTCTCTTTTTAATTGGATCACTAGGGGGTTATTACCATTGCTCTAGTTGAGGAAATAGAAACCTCGTAGCCTAAAAAAGTCAAGACACTTACTAAATTACCTCATTCACAGTAACATTTCTCTGATCCTGTTTACTGGGCATGTGTGTTATATGTTCGTGTTGGAGTGGGTGGGGTGGGGAAGGCCATTCTGCACCACAGAACGTTTCAAGCATTGCCAGCCAGGATACTTGGAGAAATATTTTACTTTCTCTACCTCTCAGACTATTTCTAGAGCACCTGATGTCTCTGTATTCTTCATAGAGACTTTGCTGCTCTATCAAATCAGACATGCAGAGAAAACTATCTTGGCACAAAGCCTAAGAAGATTTAAGGTAAGAATCTTGGCTTAGTGCTCAGCAGAATCACAGATTCTTATCCCATCCATTTAATCAATCCCCTTCCTTTCATCAAGAAAGCAAACGAATTGTCTTTTAATAACAATAATAACAGAAATATCCCGAGTGTCCGCCTCCCCTTTGAGGGCCTTCCTATAACAAATCTCTTGCTTTTCTTTCTTTCTTCACCACCCTAGGACTCAATGGACCTCTGCTCCTGAGGGATGGAGGCAAAGAGGGAAGGAGGGTGCAAGCATGCCCAGAAGAGACAGAAGTCACACAGAGTGCTCAAGCCTCGCAGGAAGGGCCAAAGTGAACTTTGGTGAGCTGACTAAGGTTCCTTTTCACTTGTGTGAAGGGAAAACGTGTCCTTCAGTTTTTCTGTGGCGTAGGAATCTTTAAGTTAAAACATGTGCATGGGAATACACAGTCATAAATATACACACAGAAACACACATGGACATGTCATGTGGTTATTGAACACACAAATTGTGGCCAGTTAGAATTGAAATGTGCCATAAATGTGAAAAATACAGGTAAGATTTGAGCACTTGGCATTCAAAAAACATCTCATTAAATTTTTTTAAATTTTGATTATACGTTCAAGTAATTCTTTGGATATACCGGGTTAAAGAAAATACATGGTTACAATTAATTTCACCTTTTTCTTTTTACTCCTTTTAATGTTGCTCCTAGAAAATTTAAGATTATATATATGACTTACATTTTATTTGTACTGGGCAGTACAAATGGGCCACATAGAAAGACCAGAGTTTTCAGCAGGAGGAGAGGCCAAAGGGAAAGGAGAAGGAAAAGCCACCACTGATTCTCAAGAATATACTGAGTATCTACTAAGTGCCTGCCCTGAATGGGGGCCAGGGAGAGAGCTCTCTTACAGAAGAGAAAGATTTTCCTAATACAGCAGTATTATTGGGAATAGTGTTTCCTGTTTAACTTTATATAAAGTAGTTTTGGGGCACCTGTGTGGCTCAGTTGGTTAAGCGCCCAGCTTTGGCTCAGGTCATGATCTTGTGGTCCATGAGTTCAAGCTCTGCGTCGGGCTCTGTGCTGACAGCTCAGAGCCTGGAGCCTGCTTTGAATTCTGTGTCTCCTTCTCTCTGTGCCCCTCCTCTGCTCACACTCTGTCTCTCTCTCAAAATAATAAATAAATGTTAAAAATATTTTAAAAAATAAAGTAGTTTTAGTGGCCCTTTCTCATTCTCTTGCTTTCAATCCTTGGTTTACAATGTACCTCAGAATATGCTTTAAATTTACGATTTTATCCTTAGGTTAGGTCAGATGAAAATTTTATGTTAAGAGACCTTCATCTCCCAAGAAGATGGGCAAATACGTAAATTATTTTCCTTCCCTCCAGCAAATCTCTGAGTGTTCGGGGGGATGGGCATAGGATGAGTTGTTGGAATTTTATCAACAGTATCTCTATTCTGTGCCGGCTCCTCCTCCTAACTTATCTCAAAGCCTTCCATACACTTTCAAACAGTATTCCTATCTCCATTCTAGTGATGAGAAAACTGAGGACGGTGTAGGTGAAATTCTCCAAAGCTAGAGGCTAGGGAATGCTGGAACCGTAATGTAAGTGTCCATCTCGATTCTTTGCTGTTAAGCTCCTTCAAGGCAGAAGATCCCCGTTACACACTTAACCTTACGATCACAACATAAAGATCAATGAATTACTAGTAGTTTGCATGCATATTGTGCATCAAATAAGTGATAACTTCCGCATGTGGGCCAGCAGAGAAAAAACTGATTCCTGAAACCATCAAAATAAGGATGGAAAATGGAAAAGGGCTCTTTAGGTCCAAAGGCAATTAAGTATGAAAAAAAAGTTCATACATATTTTGAGACCACTGTGATTTTGTAAACAATGAAATTAATGAAAAATCTTCAAAGAAAAAAATACTGTTATGTTTATTAGGCTGCTTTTGAAGTTATCCTTTCTTAACTTTTAAAATTATTGAATTAGTTGCATCTTCCCTAAGACCCTAGATCAGGCTTTTATCCAAATGTGTGCTTGCTCTATTTTCTACTACGTAAAAGGTCTAATTTATGCTTATGCACTGCATGAATACTTGGTAAGCCTTGGTGAACATCTGCCTTATTCCAGGCTTTGAGTTATATGCTGGGAAGACAAATATGAATAAGACATGGTTCCTACCCTTTTAAGATTCAGTGTCTGGTGAAGCAAGAAAAATGCATGTGAGAAGTACTCAAAACCATAGGAAGGGCATCTGGTAGGCAAAGTTCTAAGGTGGCTTCTAAGTTTCCCAGCTTCTGGTGCACATGCCCCTTATAAGCCTTTCCTTTTGAGTGTGTAAGTTTCCCAGCTTCTGGTGCACATGCCCCTTATAAGCCTTTCCTTTTGAGTGTGGGTACAACCTGCGATTATGATAGGATAACTCTGTCAATATCAGGTCACTAATCAGTTGACTTTGAATTAGGGGAGATTCTCTAATGCGCCTTACCTAATCAGGTGAGCCCTCAACAAGGACTGGGCCCTTTCTGAAGTCGGGAATATTGGAACCTATGGAGGAGGCCATGTGGCAAGGACCCAAGAGCAGCTTCTAGAAGCAGATAGCCATCACTGGCTGCCAGCCAACAAGGTGATGGGCACCACAGTTCCACAGCTGCAAGGAAGTGATTTCTGCAGATGAGCTTAGAGAGCTTGGAAATGGATCTCATTCTACTTGAGACTATGGATGAGAGCACAGCCGGTTGACACCTTGAGCAGAGAACACTGCCATGCCTTGCTTGGACTTCTGGCCTAGTGAACTATGATCCAATACATGAGTGCTGTTTTAAGTTGTTAATCTGTGGCAACTTGTTATGTCGCAATAAGAAACCAAAGCACGCCCCTACACCAGTCTATGCCAGGTGGGTTGGGCTCAGGAAAGACTTCAAAGGAAGGAAAAATAGCTGAGCTGCGTCTTGCTGGATGAGGAGGAGTGAGGCAATAATGAAGTGAGTTGAGAAGTAAGGAGGGTGCATGCTGAGAAAGACTTTGGAGCAGAGAATCTCAGCCTTGACTGCACACTGGAATTACTTGAGGGAGTTAAATAACTGATGCTTTGGTCCCATTCTTTGGGAGACTGACATAATTTGTCTGGGATGCAACCCAGACATTGAGATTTTAAAAATCTATCCAGGTTGTTTCAAGGCACAACTAAAGCTAAGGCTACATCTTAGACAGAGTGAAAAAGAGTGGAACTGTAAGTAGCTTGGGGTGGGTGTGACAAGGAAAGACAGAATACGAAATAAGTAAAAAAAAAAAAAGAAAGAAAGAAAGAAAGAAAGAAAGAAAGAAAGAAAGAAAGAAAGAAAAAGGTAGAGACCAGATAGTGAACTTTTTTATATATAAAAAATCTAATTGAAACAATTGATGAAACCTTTGAACAGAAACTTATTTGGTTCGAAAATGGGGAACATGTAGTGTGTTAAACAATGGGATGGCGAGAACTCTGTGAGAATAGGGAATGTTCATTTTTTTAGTTAACTTTGAAGCCTATTTCATGGCATTTAATACAGGAGGTGCTCAGCAAATGTTTGTTGAATGAATGAAAATTGATTGGGAGTGCTCAGGAGAGAAACTAGAAGTATCAGATATAGGCTGAGAAAGCTACCTGTCTATTTTGTAATCTGGTTGATTGTACTCATAATGTTCTCTCTTTCAAGGCACAGTACTTCTCCATGAAACATATTCTTATTGCTTGCCTCATTGCTATCATCTGAATGGGAGGTGATGCTTCATTTTCATTATTGCAAGCTTAACATGGCTAATACCAACACAAAATAAAAGTAAAGTTGATTTTGGATTGTTTTTATAACATTAATGTTAATTAACATGTTAATACTGTATAATGTTCAGCTCAAAAGACAGTGCTACGGTGACATGGGTAGGTGAGCATAGGATATATGAGGGATATTTGGGAAAGGACAGTTGAACAAATTATGCCCAGAGTCCTTAAATGAATGTACTTAGTTGAATAAATTCCATTCACTTCCATTTATTAAATACTTACTCTGTGCCCAGTACTGGGCAATGTGCTCTGCATTCATTATGATACAACATTTCATTTAATCTTCACCAAACCCATTGTAGTAGAGGTTAATATCTCCAGTTTAGATATGGAGATTAAAAAATTGAGGACATGTAATTTCTCAGTAGTGGAGCTAGGATTTGATGTGAAATCTGTCTGACTCCAAAACTGGGCCTTTAACCATGAGGTTAGGAGTAATTCTGTTTGAGAAAGGATACTACTAAAGGCTTCTAAATTCTTCTGATGTCCCAGAACATATTCGATCTTTAAATATACCACAGTGAAGAATTTTATTTTGAGGAAGTGGACTGATTAATTGATTTTCACTGAGTGTAAAAGAATGAGGTAAAACCAGTTTTGGAATTAATGAGTTAATACCTAGAGAAGTCTTGGGTTTCATCAAAATATTCCAGTATTTTTTTTTTCACTTCAGAAACAGAAACAGGGTTTCAAAATATGAATCATCAAAAGAAAGTTGTCAGTTTTCAAATCAGATGGTGTCATCTAATATATCTTATATATATCTAATATATGTCATCTAATATATGTTATCTATCTATCTATAAATGCACACATGACTTTATAAATACAAAGGATTATCAGGTACATCCATTAAATAACTTTGCTTTCTACATAATGAGCAACACTTTCCATATGTATTTTCTTTGATATGTAAACTATTAAATTTTGATCCTTCATGGTACAAAATGGGTAAAACTATACTAAAAAATGTTTTTGTCTGTCGTCTCTTTCAGGGTAAAATCCCTATCAAGGGTTTTTCAAGGATCCTACCTTTTAGTGTATTGGACATTTAACTCATAAGGCATTGCATGTGGTCCTGTCTGGATTCATTACTTAAAATTTTGGATCATTTTATGTATTTATAATATTTATGGTACAGCTGAAGTAACTCTGTATCAGAGAGTAATAATCACGTGATTATTATTTCCATTTCACTTTTTAAATGTATACACTCTTATTTTTAGTTTGGATTTTGCCACAAACATTCTCCTATTTAATTCACTACAAAACTATAAAGTTTTATCCTAAAAAGTCACATGTGAATAGTGTAGAGGTGACTGGCAGAATATGATATTAATAGGTTATTGACTTGTTAGGTCTTAAAGAGCCAAAGGGAACATCGCTTGCAGCCCCAGCAATGCACTGGAGGTTTGTTTCATTGATTGGTCTGCTTAACCCATCATCTCCAGGCATTTAAACAATGATATACGCTTGACAAACCTAATATTTCATTTTCTATCTGGGGACCATGGAACAGAAATTAAAGGAAAGAAAGACAAATGGACAGATATACAAGCAGAAAATGATGATAAATGTGAGAGAGAAGGAAGAGACAAATATAACACAGACCAAAATTTGGATCAGTAAATTCTGGAATTGGTAAATGCACAACCTAATAGCAAATGTAATTCCCAGGAGATGGTGAGGAGGAAAAATTTTAACATTTTTATTGTAAGCAAAATTCAGATTTAGATACAGAGCAGCCGGCAAACCAAATAAGATATCAAATAAGTGGTGGCTATCTTTTTTGGATGTGTGTGCATGTGTGTGTTGGAGAGAGATAGAGACAGAGACACAGACACACAGAGACAAAGTGATAGAGAAGCCGTTTTTTAAAAGTGTTCTGAATATTTCTGTAACGGGCAAATCTAGGCACTTAATGTACCTAATCTTTGCTTTTTAAACTTTGAAGGAGATGCCATGGCATGAGAAATGCTTTCCTTTTTAAAAACGTAGTCTTCTGTTGCCAACTAGAAAAGGGGAAACTTTACAACAGCCTGTCTCAGGTCCCTTGAATCTCTGGTATGATAGAGAACAGAACAAAACATGGAAAACAATATATTTCTCAAAGACTGTTACTCTATGGGACTCGATCTGATTATGATTTCATCCTTTAAATATTTTAAAAATGTTTATTCATTTTTTAAATGACAAAGAACGTGAGTGGGGGAGGGGCAGAGAGAGTCACACAAACAGAATCCGAAGCAGGCTCCAGGCTCGAACTCACGAACCGTAAGATCATGACCTGAGCCGAAGTCGGACGCTCAACCGACCGAGCCACCCAGGTGCCCCAAGGTTTCATTCTTAAAACATAGTGCCTCTGGAAACAGAACAGGCACACCCCGCCATGTCTCAGGAACACAGGATGGGGAGGATCTATCAGGATAACGGACAAAACATTTGAGTAGGTTTTCTCCTGGGAAAGGCTGGATATTGGGGAGATAAAGTCTGAGGATTGAGTGAGCCACCTCTTTAGTCACATTGTATAATACATAGAAGTTCCTATGGTAAGTGACTTTTTAGCCTTTAAAGCATGTGTCCTACAAAAAGCGTAGATTTTATCTGCTTCTGTTAACAAGTGCAAAGCAAAAGTAAATACTGAAAGTATACCAACTCTTTCTGAGCTCTTTTAAGAACTTCAGAGATATTCTAGGAACAAATAGTTATTCCCTAGTTGTGGGGGGGGGGGGTGGAGAAGGGGAGACGGTAAGAGAGAATTATAAAAAAAATTCTTGGCTCAAGAAGTAGAGAACTTAACAAAACAAATGAAGTAGGAATCACAAAGTGTTTGAAGACTTTTAATACGGTGTGATGTAGGAGGCAGGCATCATAAAAATATTATCGAAATAGGGGAGTTTGAGGGGGTCCTAAATGGTGAAGTTGGAGTCACTGGGCAGTAAGAGAAAGTGATTCTGGTTGGAAGAGATGCATGTGAAGGCAGAGAGCTGGAGATGTGTGTGAACTCTGGCAGCATCAACCCCTGAAAGGCAGTGTTGTACCTCAGGTTGGCTCTGGGTTCAAGTTTCTGCTCCACCAGCTGTCCAGCCCTGGGGAAGCCATTTCCCACATGTAGTAATCACAGGGGTGACAGTGAGAAATACATCCTCAACGGACATTAGCTACTATTGTTCTAGAAATAAATCATTAAAAAAAATTTTTTTAATGTTTTATTTATTTCTAGGAGAGAGAGAGAGACAGCGTGAGCAGGGGAGGTTCAGAGAGAGAGGGAGTCACAGACTCTGAAACAGGCTCCAGGCTCTGAGCTGGCAGTCAGCACAGAGCCCGACGCGGGGCTCGAACCCACGAACCGCGAGATCATGACACAAGCTAAAGTCGGAGGCTTAACCGACTAAGCCACCCAGGCGCCCCGAAATAAATCATTTTTAAGGTAGATAAATAAAATGTGGTATAGAATGATTGTAACTGACATCAGAAATTTTCATTTCTAAGGCATAGGGAAGAAAACAGGCTTCTAAGGCCTAAATCATCAAGCTTGGAAGCTACCTCTCTGCTCTTCACCGACCTCTTGTTTTAATTCTTTTTTTCCCCCTCTTCTCTTACTTCTTAATGTTACTTTTTCTTTATCACCTCCCAATTCACTTCGATGGGGATTATGTAAGTACATACATCCTTTATGTCATAAGAGTAGAGGTTTTCTATCAAGATACGTAAATCAGGGGTGCCTGGGGGGCTTGGTTGGGCGACTGACTTTGGTTCAGGTCATGATCTTGAGGTTCGTGAGTTCCAGCCCCAAATCAGGCTCTGTGCTGACAGCTCAGAGCCTGGAGCTTGCTTCAGATTCTGTGTCTCCTCTCTCTCTGCCCCTCCTCTGCTTGCACTCTGTCTCTCTCTCTCAAAAATAAATAAACATAAAAGAACTTTTTAAAAAAGATACATAAATCATAATGTTTTATCTACTTCAGTGTTCTAAAATTTTCATAATATAGCATATGTAATCTGTGTACAAAGATCACTAAAATGGTGTATTAACTCAATCATAAGGTTAAGCAAACATATTTGACTTTATTTAGTTGTAGGAAATAAACTGAGATTTATAAACTATTATTCAACTGTTTATTCACTCATTCATTCATTCAAAATATTTACTAAGTTGTATATCAGTTACTGGGTATCTGAACATTTGAATGCAGAAATTCAATTAGAAGATGTACTTTTACCTTGAATCCAAAATAACAAGGAAGAATTATGGCTTCAGATAAATGTTTAAGCAGAGAGTTTGAGATAATAAAGTTACCTTTCAAGATTTTAAGATGGAGAAATTAGTCACTTTTTATTAGAACACTATCAGACAAATATATTATGTATTTTGCTTCAATTTCCCAAATAAGATTTGTGCAGGCTTCAGTAGACTATTAGGTCAGTTCTCATTAAATAACAACAGTGTCAAATAATGATAATAATATTGAAATACAAACTTTGACATCTGGAACTAAGTAGTAAAATCATTGGTACTGAAGATAGAAATAAGGAAAGTATTAAGCTATAAGCTTCACCTGGCATCTTTCATTAGAGTCTGAATAAAATTCTTCATTGGGATTTGCAACACTGCTTGTGGTTCATCTTATTACTTTTATGGAGGACAAACAGCCATGTAATTAGAGTGTATTTGCAGTATTACACGCTTATTTGTAGCCTGAAGATTAGATACCAATTGGATGCTATCATTTAATGGCAAGTATAATTACCACGAAGCTTGTTCTCTGCATCTAAGAGTTTACATTTCAATGCTGCTACAACTATACAATTATTTTTCAGTTAGCTTATATCTGTATTATTATTTAATAATTATGTCCATACTGGATATAATACAATCATCTTTAAGTCACTGTTAACAAAATGAATCAGCTATACCTAAAAAGCATACAATAAATATTTTACATTATGGGGCTTTCTGTTTTTACAC